TAATGAGTCAGGATTTGTTCTTTTTTATTCCCAGGGAAACTCTGCTTCATAAGTTGTTGTGTGCATACAGCTGTCAAATACTATATCAACAAAAGATGCCTTAACCCAGTGGTTCTCAAAGTGTAGTCTGCAAGAGCCCTCGAAGTCACATCAAAAGCAGTACCATTGTTTCCATTAATTCTGATGAGTTTTTTTTTGTAGTGAAAAGTGAGTGCAGTTGGGGAAGGACTGGTAGGTGATTTGCAGGATCTTTTTCCCTGGTGAAGTGGTCTGCAGACGAAAAAGTTTGTGAACCACTGCCTTAACCAACCTACACTTTTAACTTTGTTGTAGAAGGACCATTATCAACCATCAAAGACAAATGTTGCAGATGAGTGGTAATGCTTGAAAACATATTTCACATACCTGCTATATATATATATATATCTCTATACCTTGTTGGGCATGGCTAATGAAGGGTACACATATAAGTCTTACACATAAGAATTTATGTTCTCTTAGACATTAGTAGCTGTTGTCTTGATAGTCATATCAATCATCTTGTAAGCAGTGTCTTGAAAACTGACAATGCAGTGTAGTTTTGAAACTTATATTATTGCATATAGTCACCATAATAAGCCAACAATTTTCAAATGTTTTGCTATGTACTTACGAAATCCATAAAGTCAGATAGAAAGTACTGACACTTCTTGTTATTACTTAGGAAGGAACAGAGCCGGGCAAATGCTCTGGTATTCACAGGATCCTCCAGTCAACCAGGCATGTGACTTGGTTTAAAACCTTGGACTTACAAAAGAATTGCAAGATGCACATATGGTGGTGTTTCACCTCATTTGCCATGAGGTCAGTCACACTGCTGAGTTAATAAGAACATTCTTTGCTCTATTCATGACTCTGGTCCATGGCACAATTTCAAATGCTCTCTTGGTTGTCATTATTCTGACTTTATGTCCTGTTCTTCCATATTATGCTTCCTTTTTAACCTCCAGCTTTTCACTTGCTTCTTCACCACAGAACATACAGTCCCTCTTAAAATGAAAGGCATGTCACTAGAACATCAAATGTGGTGCATTAGCTTCTGGTACTTGGGAAGGACCAGCCTCTAAATTTGCCTTATTATGTATTGTGGACACATATAATCTTTCTGTCATTTAGTGTGCAATCTGATAGTCGATACATTTTGCAGATTTGCAGCCAATCTGATCTTGGCTGCCAGATGGGCAGTATTAGAGGATGGTTGTGAAAAGGGTGCAGTTGCATGGTGCCCCAGCACAAAAAAATTAAGAAAATTCAGTCCCTACCATGGGTCCTGGAATAGGACTTAGCAAGGGGCCCTAAGTTAACTAACACCACCTCTGCTACCAGATTAGATTCTTGATAGTCTGGAGTCCTCTACTCACTCTTATGACATCATAGGTTTCTAAGGAGCAAATCCATATTAAACAATTGTTGATCATGTCATTCATTATCACCTGAAAAAATAAAACACTTAATTCATTGAATAAATAGAAAATTATTTCAGTCTAGAATAAAGCAGATGCACAACATACATAAATACAGGTAAGCATATAGCATGTACTTAAAATTAATATTTCTAAATGTTGAACACAATGAATATACCTTCACTTGCAGTTAAAAATGGAGGTGGTTTGGACCATCTAGAATCCCCCTGGCTCTTTCCCTGGTGCTTGAGAAGGGCACTTTTGACATGTTGTAGCATATAAAAAAACTAAACCTATCCTGAAATTTTCAGCATTACACTGATTATTCTTGCAATTTGACCTGAAGTGCCCTAAAGTCATGTACTAATACCATTCTAAAAATATATTCTGAAGTAGTTAAGGAAGAGAGAAATTAACAGTTATTTCAAGTGATAAAATAATACATCAGTGGTCAGAGCTGATGTTTTTTACATTATTTTCAGTTTTCTTTATTTTTGACATACATATATATATTACAAAGACTTCAAATATTAAGCCTTTCCTAACTGGTGTCATCTGACCTGTTTTTTAGCCCAGTTTTGACACTAGTTGCCAATAAAAAATAGTGTATTTTATTTAATGGCAGATCAAGATTGTCTAGATGCTCGAACACAGTTTTTGCTTTGTTGGCTAAACAACGTATATAGTTGTTAAATGCTATATGACTTCCTTCCAATAAATGAGAAAGTTTTCATTGCTTGAAATTCCCCGTATCATGTTGCCTAGTAATTTAATACCTGTTACTTTAACGGCCAATTTGTGAGAAAAGGTACTTATTTTTATATTTTTGACAAATTGATTTATCACACTATTTTTTATTCAATCTACAATTGATATCATGTATGAAGAATGCAGTGAGAAAATTTTTGATCTTCCTTTTGGTCATGGAAATATTGCCTTTGATCCAAATGTGAGACCTCTGATAAAGTGGTCATTCATCATCACATCCATGACCAGAAGGTGTTAAATAGAGATATATCTAGATTAGAGTTTATTTGAATGTAATAAATCATTTTATGTTGCTTAGAGTTCAAAACATGTATACTTATGTTATTGTAAGCATAAATGTAAAAATTATGCATTTAGCACCAAGATTTATGGGAGAAGAGGTTTTATTAGTCACTGGAATCCCATCATACAGAAATTGTATTGTTAAAATGAATAAATGAAACTTGCATTAGTTCTTCATGGTAGGAAGTTTACCAACTGAAGACATTTGATCAAACTTGGTGGTCTTTTGGGAACAACTTATCAGTGCTAAGTAGGTGTGCTTTCAATCAAGTGACTGCCTCTGAAATGCCAAAGTTTCCTAACATCTCTATGAAATAGTCAAGTACAGCATCCTTGTGTACCTTGACCACACCTCAATATCTAACTCTTGATGTTGACAGATCAGCAGTGCTTTTACTAGTTGAAGCTTCATTTGATAGTATGGTGCTTTACGTGCTAATTTACAGGTTTGTTTCCATATTACTGGTCTCAGTTTTATCAATAGCAAAAATTTTTCCAGCCCATGCTGCACTCTTCATGACATTTATGCTTTGCTGTGCAGAGCTATCCTGATAATTGGTCAAATAATTTTATCACTGCTGCTTCTGCTCAGCAAACAACTCTCTACCTCACATAGCTCTTTGTCTCAGAAATTGATGGAAACTAGCCCCGACCCACAAAACATTTGTGGTAGTTTTCATGCCCTTCACTTGAATTTTCCTTATTGTATTATTTTCACGCATGCCATTTAAGTTATGCTTTCTTGCAGGTATTATATGTTAGATTGATAAATCCTCGTCTATTTGAAAAAGTTTTATGTGGTCAGATAAACAAACTCGCATAGACATAACTTTATTTAATAAAACTACACATAAAGTAAACAGTAAAGTATATTAACAGTATTTATAATAGTGTACAGAGTATGAAACAGTTATGAGCATTCATCGTATGACACAGTTTTAGGGGTTGAAGCAAAGAACCTCACAAAATCAAAGAATAAAACCTGTACTAAAGAAAAAAGTAGCTACAAGGTGTTTATAACAGTCTATGAAATGAACTGAAACTAAGTTATTGCAGAGTAAAGTACATGTGAAATTGTAATGAAGACAAATTTAACTGAATATGCAGAAATGTCTGAATGTGTGTTCACAAAGTGATAAGCAAATGGTTTTGAATGAACTGAGTGTGCATATTTTAGACCTAAATAAGTTGAGAAAGCCCATACCAATTGTATTTAGTATATTGTTTATTTTGTTTTAGGAAATTACATGTGGGTTAAGTGTTGTTTGTGTGTAAGATACTTTGCAAATAAGAAAAATAAAGCTAAATTTGAAACTAGTTGTCACACGATGACAACGACATTGTGCATACTTATTGTATTGAAACTTTGACTGAGCAGAAAACAGGTAAAGTGATTCTAAATGTAGTCACTATGTCAAACTGTATTCAGGTTGTGCAATATATAGCCCTCATTTTCCACCCCTACACGTGATCCGCATGACTACGCCCAATAGCAGACCACAGAAATAGGCTAATTTGGCATCTGGTGAACAGGATTCAATGAAGCATGTCAAAAGTATAAAGGAGTGGTCATTTCACATTGGATGGGCCTCAGGAGTTCATACGGGGAATGAAAAGTTAATATTTTCAACCGTGGGGAAAATTATTTAAAACAAAACATTATACGTTTTCATTGACTGTCAGTGTATATTCACATGAGACTTGGATAGCTGGAATACTAAAAAATAATAATAATTGGTAACACAAACTTCAATTAGTTTATTATTTTCATGAATTGGGATACTAATCCAATTAAGGTAAACAACCTTCAATTAATCAAAAATAATAATGAGAAATCCTAATGGCAGTATTTCAATTACTTGGATAGATGGAATAATAAAAAATAATTGTAATCAGAAACACTCATTTTTTTTAGTTAATTATTTCGTGTGAGATTACATTAGTTAATGTAATCCATGCTCATAGGTAATTGATTAATTGAGTTAATTACCCATCTCTGTCAGTATATAATCATACTAACTTCAAAGCTGAATATATCAAATTTTGTGAACTCATACAAGTTTATAAATCTTTTTAATTAATTAATGGGTGATAAAAACAATGTCAGGGACAAGCCTAGCCTAGAAAAATATAAAATAATTATTAATAAAACCACTTATCATCAAGTAAAATGATTCTGTTAAATGTCTTTTTGTAAGGAGAGTAAAAAAAGGATAATGAAGTATATGCTTATTTAAATTTTAAAAAGATGTTTATCATTATAAAATAAACACATTTTTCTAACACTACATATAAGGTAAAATATTTCTATTTCTCAAATGTTAATACATTATATTATTTTGTAAAAATAAATACATGTCTAGGAAATACTAATCTTAGATTGGAACATTTCTGTTTTATGTGATAAGTTGGTTTGCTCATTAAAAAAAATCAAAACTATTTCTGTCTTATGATGTTTTATCAGTTTTGGTTTACTTATAACCTTGAGTGTGTAATTTTTCCTCACAGGAATACCTCAACTCTCATGGAACCCCAAGGGTATGGACCCTTTAAGCCTAGTGAGAAATTTGTGCTGCTACCGAGCCAAAGTTCTGCATTTTACCCATTGTACAAGAGTTATGTTTCTCCATCGACTTCAGATAGTGCTCTACAGCAGCTGACCTCTTCTCCTCACTCCCTAGCTGAAGAGAAGCTGCAGTGACCTAGCTGAAGGGGTGTTCCCTTTAATCACCCCTCTCACCTTAATGCTGTTTAATTTTTTTCCTTCTGGTGAAGACTTGTAATCACGTTTTTGGTAGGCTTGTGTGAAGCCTTAATATAAACAACACATACCACGTGATTGATGTGTAGTCACTCTTGGGTGTCATTCTCTTCACCCAGCCACCACCAGTTCTTCCTTTGTAGTCTTCTGCAACTACAAACAAAGGTCGTGATATGTGACAAGTCCTTTTACATTTCTATAAGGCTTATCACTGTGCACCTGTTTTTACAGTGACCACATCCTATTCAACTTGTGACTGTGATGTTTGCACAACCAAATAATATTTACTGGTATCTCCAAAGAGAGAGAGAATATAGCAGGTACAAATTTGAAGGGCTTTTCTTCTCATTTTATTTGTTAGTCTGCAAGTTTTAGTAACCAATTAAACGAAATTTATATTATTAATAAGGACTTCAGAGTGAAAGTAAAGGAGGGTATATAATAATATGTCAACCACTTTATCTGCTATATATATTAATGGTGGAGTATCCAGGCATATTGTATTCTGTATGTAAATGTCAAAGACAGTAATCATGTTTTATTACACATTGTGCTACTACATAAAGATGTAGAGAAAAATAACTCAAATAATAAACAAATGTAGACAGAGCATATTAACCTAGCATATGGTTAGAAAATATTGATGTGTTTTGTTTTATATTGTTTTCTTCTTTCAGAATTCTTAACCAGTTTCATCTTTTCAAATAATTACATAGGTAAGAAGTGTATTTAGTTTGATCAAAAATGTTTTTGTTTGAATTAGTTAAGTGATAGTCATTATTATTTCATGTATTTTGGAAACATTCAAATCATGAAAGTTTTCTTTTGTATAACCTGTATTTTTGTTTTTCATTTAACAATTCTTTTTAGAGTAGATACAGATGGAATCTGTGGAAATCTTTGAAATTTTCTGCATGAATGGTTTGTATTTTCTGCAGAAATCTGTGGAAAAGTCAGTTCATTTAAAAACAACAACAAAGCAGTTTAGGCTATTAGCCTGTTACTTTGCCCTACCTACGTTATGTGGACCATGCAGTACAAGTTGAGACACGGTCTCTAACGAGATTCATTTTTCATTCTTAATTCATAAAAATATATGATTTATAACACTCCAAAACTACTTAAACTTTATCATCATAAAAAATTCTAGATTGGCTTTGATTAAGTTTGTGCATTTGTCCTTCAATATATCTTTGTAAATGGAAAAGAATCTCTCAACATCAATACTGGATATAAAACATTTCCTAGGTCACTGGAGTCTGATATAGTATATATGGTTCTTGTGCATTTCAGTTGGGCTGGTAAAGCTATAATGTCAGATTATATATATTTGTACCACTCCATTGCCTGCACTATTTTTTGTTAGCAGATAATGTTGCCAAAATTTTTGGATTGAAAGTTTGAACTGCTTTGAAGAACTTCATGGAAAGATGCTTTTACATGAGTACAGATCACTTTTCTCTTATCACTGTTGATACATTTATATTTTGAAGCTTATTTTAGTTGAAAGTGATTCAGAAACACAACATGAAGTTATCCTCCTGAGAAGTGAACGTGAACATAAAGTTCATTTCCATTATCACATCTTGTTAATTGTAGATTTATTTATAATGTTATGTGGTAGTGTACATTTCAATGATGTAAGAAGTCTGATGAGTTTCTTGAAGATAAGTGTTTCTGAACAAAGATTCCATGAGCTTTACTTATAACAAACTTCTTGTCAAACTGATTTGCTGATTATGGCTATTTCATTAACTGAAATACCAGTAAGTTTATGTTTCTAACCAAATAAATAATGGAGTTAATCCAAGACAACAAATATGTTTGCACTGAGTGTACAGGCAGATGTGGAGTGACATCTTTTGTCTCCAGTTAGGACAGGAACAACCTTCTTTGGACAGAATACCTCCTACCAGAAAGCATGGCCATGTAAGAATCAGGTTTAACATATGGGCCATGCAAGTAACATGCATAGCCTTTGGAAACAAACCTTACTAAACACTCAATAAGGCTTTTGTCATGTAACTTGCTGTGTCGTATATTACAACATATACATTGTGAAAGGAAAGGTTAATTTCAACTAGTTTCTTTTTTGTTTGTATCAGAATTTCTTAATTTTTGTAAAAGTTACGAGTCTACAAAAATGTTGAAAGTTAGGCTTGCCAGCTTGAAATCATTTTATAAGTTAAAACAAACACATTTGAAAAATTGTATGCATTAATTATAAAATTGAGTTTTCTTTCTACTAACTTGCATAATACTTACCAACCTAACTTGGGAAAAAACTATCATAAACTTGAGTGCTCTTACATGGGAATGATGGGAACTTTTGTGCAGAAAGTTACCAGGCATAGACCTGGGTGATGAGTAAAATTTGCTAATAAATTAAATATTCAGGCTTAGTACTTGATTACATTCAACTAATTGATTATTCTCATGTGATGACTTTAAAAGTAAATAACAAATGTATAAAAAATCTTGTAACACCTAAAAACCAATGGTGGGCAGAGCATAGATAGCCAATTGAACTTTGTATTTAACAACAAACGAACATAATGGCAATATTTCAGTTAATTAGATAGTTGGAATAATAGAAAACCCTAATTTCAGTTAGTTGATTATTCTTATGAGGCTTGTGGCACTAATCAATTAAGTTGAACAAACTTGAATTTATAAAAAAAAAAACATACTACTAGTATTTTGAATCGTTTACTGGATAGTTGGAATAATGAAAAATGGTACAAATCAGAAATACTAATTTTGATTAGATAATTATTTTTGTGACATTAATCAATTTAATTGATACTTATGGCTAATCAATTTAATTGCCCAGCTGTAACCATTCAGGATATGAGAGAATGAAACTACTCTATTCATTTAATAGTTTATCATAAAATATAATTATTTTGTTAATTGTGAGCCTATGGCTGAGTTAGTGGAAATAAATGAAGAAAACCACTCCATGTCTGATTTACATTATGGATGTGTATGTTCAAATTCAACCTGTCACGTGATGCTGAGCATCAGAGGACAGTTTTTATAATGATTCTTTGTACTTATGGTGGGCATGCAAATAAAGATGTTACAACTTGGTAAACCTCTAGTATTTTGTTTGAAAATTATCATATTAGTATCTATTTGCACTTGGGTTCTTAGTGTTCCCATGTGGTAAAATATTGATAGCTTCTTTCTCTTGATCAGAGTTATGCAGTTATAATGTAGCTTGCTTTTGGCATAGTAGTTTTTAAGTACTGGCACCAGTAGAAGTTGCAACTCATTTTCATGTATTGTGTTTCTTATTTGCAGTATGCTCAACTGCTGATTGATGATTGCACATAATCCACAAAATGATACCAAAATTTACAGAATAATATTCCCAACTGAATGTAATAACCATCTTTAAATTCTTTTCGATGATCAATAGCAGTAACTTTCACTTAGATGTGTTTAACTTTAGAGCATTATTAGATGCTGCTATGCCTTATTCAAATCTGCCATTGTCGTTAACTGTAACTCACAAATTGTGATGCTCCTGCTGGTCATCTCAACAATAAAAAAAACACTTCATTTCCCACTTCCAGAGAGCTCACTTGGGAAGATTAGTGTAAAGGGCAAATCTTGACAAAACTTTATATTTAATTAAAATGTAAAACAACAAATATTACTGCACTCATCTCATAAACATTTTTTGTCACCAGGTAAAAATGGTAAAGATCCACGGGTTCCCCAGCTTTTCTGCAGAAATCATGAGATCCATGAGTGTGATAATATTTTCATGAATGCAGATTCCATCTGTCCCTGGATATTAGAAATAATTCTACATTTATTCTTTGTATTTGAAATGTTCATTTATAAAAATTTGAAAAAAGGAGAGTAACTTGTATTGAAGTATGAAAAATACAATTCATTCTTTAAAATGATGGCATGCATAGACTTAAAACAGAATTGGAAAGCAAATTGAACATTCTATGTTTAGAAAAATAAGAAAAATTTGAATTGAGCAAAAAAAAGAAGAAATTGGTGCAATGTATATTGGATGTTGTTATTATGGCATAAGTCTACATCTTTTGTCTGATCATGCATTTATCCACCTACTGCATTGTGTCATATAATACTGAATGTTTCAGTGGATGAAATATATCCAACTTAAGGAATAAAAACACATATCCCTTTCAAAAAAAAAAGTGTGTTTGATGGTACACAAGGATAAGCTTATCTCAGGTTCAACTACTGTCATCACTAGACCTGCTTTTGAAAACTCACATTCATGCATCATTATTGGCATTTTTCTCAATATCCTTAATGTCAGTTAGTTTATTTGTTAATATAACTAAAACTACTTGCGTAGTTAAGCACAACCAAAGTTTTAGTTAGTATGCCTCAAGGTTCAGTAGTAGAATGTGCTCCTGATAGTACAATGACACTTTCAAATCCTTGAGGTGAAAGATGTTGCCTTTAAAGTTGATTTGATTTTGTTCCAATGCTTACTAGAGAAATTAAAATTATTTCTAGTGTCCCAAAATTCCCAGAAAATTCATGATTATTAAGTCATACCTGAAAATTCCTAAATTTTTAAAAACTTTCCTTAAAAAGCTCTAAAGAAAAAGTTATTCTAAATCTGGTCATCTTGGATGTGAATGTGGTGATGATGCTGACTTATTAATATAACTTTGACTTGGTGTAAATGATTGGTGATTTAATGAATATGGAAGCAAGAAATCATTTGTGTGAAATTGGTGTTTGATATAATAAAATTTTAGAAAATTATAAAATATAAGGTTAAGACATCATTATCACATGGTAACTAATCTGGTCTTCTCAGGTAAGGAAGATTTATGGGCTTGATATAGTAAGAATATTTTAGTATTCTTGTTTATTATCAACAAGTACTTTATTTTAAATCCATGAGGGCATGATGAGTTAAACATTTGCCATAATATTTCCTTAACATTCCTTCTTTTTTTTAAACAACCATAATTTTAACTTAAATAATTGTAAATTTATCCCTGAAAAAAATATTTCTTCTGGCTGGAAAGTCTTAAAATCTAAAATTTCCTAAATGAAAGGATAAGTGGAAAAGTTCAGTGTCATACCTAATCTATGATAATTAATGTTGAAAACATATTTGTTAGGTAATATCTTATTACCTCTCAGTTTAACTTGCTTTTAAGTAGAGTGTGCTTGTAAATTTAAGATTTGTTTTATTGCTTGTCCCAACTGCATACCTAACAGTATGAGATGAAGAGCACAGTTTAGTGTGTGCTTGTGGTCTAGTATTATATTCTATCTACTGTTTTACACATCAAGCTCCCATTGGCTATATATATATAGGGAATAGAATAGATTAGGAAATTGTCTTTCCAGTTTGAACTTTGCATAAAAGATTTTGATTTATACGAGGGGTTATTGTGCTATCAGGAACTTCAGGTTTTTGTTAACCTCTGCTCTTTTGCTGTTATTTACTTTAATGTTATTATATGAAAACTTCAAGTTTGTGAAAAGCATTGATGAGTTACTAAACATGATATTATGACATGGTTTCTTTATGGTATGGTTTGAAGCAGTAAATTGGATCAGAATACTTGTTAACTTTACTTAAAACTCTAAACGATGTGCCTGAATACAATAAATGTGATCTCAGAAATACATGTAGTATAAAATGTATATTGTGAGAAAAATAGAGTGGCCTACTGATTAAAGAGATTAAAATACCAGATATACAAAACATATTGTCATATGAAGTATTTATGTCATATTTCTATCAAAAAGAATGTTTTAAGAAAAAGTTGTTCAAAATGGGTAATTTACTCTTAAAATGTAGTTTTTGAGAATACAATATATAGTTAAGGGATAAAACTTAATCTTGCTATTAAATTTAATGGAGAGAAAGAGAATAAAACATCAGTAATTTCATAAGAGGGAAGGGGGCTAAAAGCAGTTCCCTGAAAAAAATAATAATAATGCTACTGGAAATTTATAATGCTCTAGCACAGATAATCAGATAAGTACTGCCATCTGTTTATAGATATTCAAAACTGGAATGTTTTACCTTGGTAATTTCCCCCCAATTCTTCTCATAAGTTGGTAACATTACTGGTGTGTTGGACTGAAATGTGGGATAGAGCATGTTATCATAAGAAACAATTATGCTTGACCATAAATCTGGCTCTTTTTGTTTTTAACAAAAAACAAACAAAAATACAAAGTAATAGTAAAATCAGAACCTAAGGATATACCTTGTCTAGAGCAGTACCGTAGAGTGATGGTATATACAAGAACAATACATCTATTTTAAGTACAGTACATCTTTAGCTGCATACACTTATAACATGGACTTATTTCTCATATACTGCTTACAAAATCATCTGAGCATTTGTGGTAGTTCACACATGTAAATTAATAAATATTTTTACAGAAAAATATTTTGAAGTATTTGAAAAGCAACAATTAAGTATAAAGACAGGTTAAGTTGCTTAGCCCACAACAATTTATATGTGGTGTGAAAATTTTCAAAAGTGACTCTACTCTGTAAACATAGTAAAAATTTAAGCATTTTTATCCAAATTTAAACTTGTTTGCTGACAAACGTATATAGGAGCATTAATCACATGCATAATATATATATATATGATGAATGAATGTAGCCTTATTATGAATTTTTTGCTTACATTTAAACCAAACATCTATATTAATATGCAATTTACATAGCCAATTAATTTTAAGTTCAGCTTCTGTTTGTTTCTGTAAATCAAAACTTGTTTATAACCTTAATCTAGTTCTTGTTCAACTAGTATATATGCCTACACTATGACAGGCTTCAATATCAGTGGGTCCTGTGTACTCAGACTCCTAACTTTAGGGATTTTACCCAAAAAACCTTGTTATGGGTCCCCTTAAGTTTTGATAGATGGATCGTGCATGCACTAAAATCAAAATAAGGTTAGACTGGTTCCATTTTATCCTAAACGATTGATATTTAATAGGTGAATATGCATGTTATCTTAGCATGTCTCTTCTTTAATCTATTTGACTCTTTTACTTTTAGGTGAATTAAACTTGCAATAATTATAAATTTTAGTTACCTTTTAAATTAACATAATTAAAAAGATATGATTTTAGGGGGAAAATGTTAGCAGCTTCATTGGTAGTATTGTAAAAAATGATGTTTCAACCCTTTGATCTCTTGTGAAAGCTTACCTCAGAAACAAAAGAGATCCAGAGAACACTGCAATACCATTTAGGCATGACTGTGACATAGGTGGTGTAATGTTACACAAATACAAAGTTCATGATGCACACACACACATAGCTTTAAGTTTAATAGACTCCCAAGCCAGAAATCAACGATTTTTTTTACCAGTGTTTGATTTTGTAGTGTCTCAATTCTTTGATTGGATGTTAAAAAGCCAATATATAAAATACTGAAAT